GGCGTTGTGGAGTGGAATAACAGCGCAGACCACGCTTCGATATTGGACATAAATCAAAAAAATCTGCGACAAGCTCACTGCGACGCACTGCTGAGGGACGATAACCAGGCCTTTAGGGCGTACGTTCCGAAACGGTGACTTTTTCCTGACTTTGCCAGCTAAACAACCTGGCATGAAGATTGTTTAATGGTTGCCATGGAGATTTGGTAACTTCCAGACTAGTTTTTCCCACTGGAAAAAAATGTAATTCTTAAGTTGTTTTTTTTTTTTTCAAATAAGTGCATTTTTTTTATGATTTGCGGAGGTAAGTGAGACTCTTTGCCAGTGGAACAAGACAACTTACATTTAAAATAAGAAAAAATATTGCATTTTCTTATTACAAGAATATGTTATCTAATTATCTTATTTTAAGACTAAGAATCCTCATTCCATTGGCAGATCATCTTATTAACCTTCTCAAATTAAGGCTAAATACAGTACATTTAAGACATGTTGACCTATTTCTAGATCGTTTTTGTAGTGCAGAGTTTTTCCTGTTTCATTATTTTTTCTTCTCTCTTTCTTTTATATTTTCCTTTCCTTCTATTAATAAATCCTTATCTCCTTTCCTGAATTACTGGTGATTTAACAGTTTGTTTTTGTGGAACAGAATCAGAGTTATTGCCATAAATGCATTTTGCTGTAGCTGTTGTAACTTTAGGTTGCAGATGACATCCACCTATAGGACATCTTAACAAAGTGCAATTGTATGCATTTATGTTATTAAATATACGTACAGAAACAATTCTTTGACATTATTGTTTGAGTTTTCCGATCTGCTTATTACATTTAAATGCTAAATAGGACCAAAAAGCCTTTTGACTGTTTTAAAGTTGTTTTAAAAAGGCCAGTTCAGGTCATCAGCTCCTTTCTTGCTGCCGTTTCCTTACATAGAAAGGTCAATAAGTCGGAATTACTTCCTTATAATGTTCTGTATTCCCATTTTGAAGAAAGAGTGGAATAAACGTATTACAGCAGATGTATCGGGGGGGGGTCATCGGGTGATAACGTCCTTCTGTTTGCTGTGTTTGTTGGCTGCAGTATTACTGCTGTAAGCCGGAGGAGTCAGAGAAGGGGGAAGACGAGGAACCAGAACTTTCCACCATGTCACCTTCTCGACCCCTGGCTCTGTGTGCTCCTCCCACGCCTCCAACGCCGGAGCTCTACAGCGAAGAGCCCGAGTCGTACCCCCCCACCTTCCTCACCGAGGCCAATGGGCCCTCCAGCCACTCCTCTCCTCCACTGCGGAGGTGCCAGCGAGTCCACGCCTTCTGCCCGTCCTGCGCCCGCTGCTCCCTGCCCTTCTACCTGCAGCATCCGGAGCGACTGTGCAACGGAGGCCGCCGGATCAGCTACCGGACTGTGCAGCAGCAGGACCTGGAGCTGCCCGTGGATCTGGACAGCTTCTACCAGAAACTGATCCGCTCCTACACCATGAAGGAGGTGGTGAGCCACAGCGTGAGCACCGACGTCTAAGCAAAGCCTGCTGGCTCTTTATGTGGGCTGGATGGAGGCCTGCAGCTGGGAGCCACAGCTGGAGCAGCTTCTGACCAGAGCCTGTCCTTCAAAATGATCATGCATAACAAATATATCTTTGCCAGACTGCTAAATGAGTGGGTTACCTCAGATATGAACAGCATTCTAAGCAGACTTCAGATAGATTGGCTTTCTTCCAGAGCTCAGTAGAGGAGGTCGGTGTTGGTTGTGGAGCTCATCCTATCAGATCCATCACAGGGAGCTGTTAAATTAAAAACTCCATCAAAGATTGTTGAAATATGTGAAATTCAGCAGTTCATCTGGAGATGAATTTATAGAAATTTCTCTAAAGCGTAAAACTACTATTAAAATGTTTGTTTTTTTTCCCTCGCTAAGCTGAAAAAATGCTTAATTATTAGAATTCCAAAAAGAGAAAATTAAAAACAATCCACTGGACTTTGTTTAAAGACGTTTCGCTCAAGGGTGTAACTTAGTGAATAAAGTTGGTGGGGGCGC